AATTTAAAAAGCAGGCAACATATCCTAAGGGTGATTCAACAGTATTCAAGTAGGAATATTGGAACCACCCAACTAGAAAATGCCGAAAAGTAGAAACTAAAAATACCACAAGCACAACAATAATGTCGTGCTGAACGATCTTCAAGGATCGAAAATATAACATCATTGATTAAATGTACGGGGAGACTTTTTACAGCCGCCACACGGCACAAATAACACGGATGTGATCATAAAATAGATAAGTACAGAATTCCTAAAGAAAGCCCATCACGGTTAAATTGAAAATGTTGCAGGCTCGGTTTGATTGAGCCTGTTCATGGACGGTACTGGAAAGTGCAAGTTACCGTCCACGCCCCCTAGCACCGGCTTAAGCAGAATTCAACATTTAAACGTGAAATAGTAAAATTTTGAATTTAGAAACATCCGCAGATGTGTTCATACGGCGGTTATCATGGAACCTTCAATGTGACACTTCCGTGCCATTCCATGAAAAGCGGCGTATGGTCCCCAAGTAATAAAAAGCGTGTGCCCTGAACGAGAAAACAATGGGCGGAACTAAATAAAATGGAATTTTGAAAGGGGATCAGAGGTTATGAAGCCTGCGTATCACAGATAAGACGTCAAAAGACAAATTTAAAAAGCAGGCAACATATCCTAAGGGTGATTCAACAGTATTCAAGTAGGAATATTGGAACCACCCAACTAGAAAATGCCGAAAAGTAGAAACTAAAAATACCACAAGCACAACAATAATGTCGTGCTGAACGATCTTCAAGGATCGAAAATATAACATCATTGATTAAATGTACGGCGAGACTTTTTACAGCCGCCACACGGCACAAATAACACGGATGTGATCATAAAATAGATAAATACAGAATCCCTAAAGAAAGCCCAACACGGCAAAATTGAAAATGTTGCAGGCTCGGTTTGATTGAGCCTGTACATGGACGGTACTGGAAAGTGCAAGTTACCGTCCACGCCCCCTAGCACCGGCTTAAGCAGAATTCAACATTTAAACTTGAAATAGTAAAATTTTGAATTTAGAAACATCCGCAGATGTGTTCATACGGCGGTTATCATGGAACCTTCAATGTGACACTTCCGTGCCATTCCACGAAAAGCGGCGTATGGTCCCCAAGTAATAAAAAGCGTGTGCCCTAAACGAGAAAACAATGGGCGGAACTAAATAAAATGGAATTTTGAAAGGGGATCAGAGGTTATGAAGCCTGCGTATCACAGATAAGACGTCAAAAGACAAATTTAAAAAGCAGGCAACATATCCTAAGGGTGATTCAACAGTATTCAAGTAGGAATATTGGAACCACCCAACTAGAAAATGCCGAAAAGTAGAAACTAAAAATACCACAAGCACATAATGTCGTGCTGAACGATCTTCAAGGATCGAAAATATAACATCATTGATTAAATGTACGGGGAGACTTTTTACAGCCGCCACACGGCACAAATAACACGGATGTGATCATAAAATAGATAAATACAGAATCCCTAAAGAAAGCAGTCATGATTATAGTTAGCTTAAATTACCATACTTTTAACTGATTTCAATGTTAAGTAAAAGATATCCCCTCCCCACCTCCCCCGCAAAAAAAAATCAGATACATGAAATACACTAGGAAATATGTTTAATAACACGTTTTCTGACTCTTTTATTTCTAGTTATAAATCAGCGGAATTGCATGTAATTAGAATAATCTTCCTCAGTATATCGATCAGTGCGGTTAGTAGCGATTTTATCATCAATTGCGACATGTTTCTATACTTTGTTCAAATGTCCGGACATGTTTATGTTTTAGCACCGATATTAATTTTATGCCGCATTCTTTTCCACTTTTCCCAATGTAGATTTTCATTAAAACTGATTTTTAATCAAAATAATGGATTAATTCATTTAATTGATAGTGTGAAATATTTCAGCCACCAGATAGCCACTTAGTTTAACTTATGATTAATGTGTGCAACTAATAAAATGTTTAAAGTAAATACTTTTTTTAATTATTTTAATTTTGTGGTGTCACTGAAAAGTCAAATTTTTAACTTGTAATCCATCTCGTTTGGCGAGATATTGTTTTTACAAAAAGTTATAAACAAATTGATAATACGATCCAAATAATATATCCACACGAGAAATATTTTTAATGAGAGCGTGATCATAGTACTTCTGTACTACGTTACATTGATTTTTAATAGTGATCAAACAAAGTTTTATGGCTAGTCTATGCTTTCAAAGCTTCTGTAGGACTTTAATCTATTTATCAAATCATTTAACATTTTTCTTAGACATGAAATGCACATTAAAAATAAATAAATCCACTTTTATATTTAAATATCTTATCTCGCAATGAACAAAAATGTATGGAACTCAAAATATATACATACTTATTAATACTTCAAAGGAAAAAAGGGAAATATCAAATAAAATAATTATTTGATTTATATAATCTTAACATCTTAAAAACCTAAATCATCATATTGCATGTCATTAACAGAGAGTGATAATTAGATTTACAATTCTAGCGCAGCATGAAACTGACAAGATGTCAGAAAAAAGCTTACTGTTTCTACAAGTTGTGTATCGATCCATTGCTGTATATAGAATATACCAATACGACAATATTTATATTATTATGTTATAATATCGTGTCAATCCCGTTAAATATAAAAACGTTTGAAATTAATAATTTTTTAGAAAGCGATTTAAAATACTGTTAAACTCATGAAGAAATTGTTGGGTTCTTGTGAAAAATGGCTAAGCTTTAACGTTAATTACTCAATTACCTTAAGCAAAATTGTGCATTCTTGTAAGTCAAGACATAGAACTTATACATAAATAGTATTGTGTTTGCTTGATATACTGATTATGTGGTTAATCGTGTTGAATTCCCCATCGTTAGTTTTGATTCGTAACAGAATATTTGAGAAACACGTTTTCCCTATCATCCTAGCCTACCTTAAATAAACAAACAGCGCGGATGAACATAGGGTTTTTGTTTACGTAAGTTATTATTTCGTACTCACCTGGTTAAACATAAAATGCTTCGAAAATTGAGGATAAAGATAAATACCGGTAAATGATTTTTTAGGTCCCTAATTAATTAACTTCACTATTTTGATCAGTTATGTAGCATATTTGTTAGTATGTTAAGTATTAAAAGGTAATTATAAATGCATAAATAATTGTACGTATTTAAATTAATTTGAAACTGTATGATTTGCCTGTCCAATGCATGCATATGATGTTGTCATACTAGTAAACATGTTAACATAAACCTTAAAAGTGCGAGGCCTGATTTACAAAAACACACTCAAAATCCGAGTCTGTAATGTTTATATATTATTCTTTCATTATGGCCGTTACTCTCCCCACTTTTTCAGTCGTCTGCAAGTGCTATGTTATAGATTTTCTATTTATTGTCGGGAATGAATACAAACTACTCATTTCCTTTCCTTTGTTAGCTCGAACATGTAACTGAAATGCAATTTATTAAAATATCCAGACACTTACTTCACGAAATGTATAATGAAATTTTTAAATTTACTCCAGCTGCTTTTATTGTTTGAAGTGTTGCCTTCAGAAATAAATATAAAAGTAAGTTAAAAGGAAACCTGCAGAAATGAACTGCCATACATAATCAAATTTTGTCAATTGTACCATTAATCCAAATGAATTATATTTATGTCATAAAAATTTCACATATATCACATTTAAAAAATGTGAAAGCAAGGTATATAAACTCAGTACATGTTCTTAGAAAGGACTGTACTTTTTATCAAATATTTCAATCACAAATACATTAAGCAAGGAAACTTTATTAATTTATATACTTAGTCCATGCAGTAAAGCACGATTTCCTTTAAATAAGTGATTCATTAAGGCCTACGTTTAAATGTGTTGTTATATTAACGGAAAATGAGTTTTTTTCGAAATCTGCTTACCCCAATAATATATTAAAACATGGCATGAGCAATGTTAGCGATCTATCTATCAACAAATTTTTAAAAAAATCAGACTTGAGATTACTTTCAACAGGTGCCCTTTAACATTTCTTGTTCGAATATATCTAATATCTAATAAAAATTGACCAATGCAAAAAATGAAGTAAACACATTGAAATAAGGAAAATAAATAAATAAAACTTGCAACATTTAGTCACTACTGTAATGATGCTAAACAAAACAACATAGATAAAAGCTATCTAAAGTTATTGGAGATTCCTGAGACAGTCGATACCTCCAAGAGATTTCTGTTTCCCCTCAACATTGTAACATGTCTTTCTCCTGACATTTACACAGAGTTTGAAAGACTTAATTGCGGTTTGGAAATGAGATAATTCACTTTTATCGCATCCGTTACATTAGTTCGTTTCTAAGTGCCTTTTTATAGTAAAATTGATTTATCATTGATCTGAAATGCTTCAGTTATTTACAAAGTCATTACAGCTTAAATGTATAATAGCTCTATCACAGATCAGTCAATACCAGGCATTTCTCTTGTTTACATTCAACAGATGAAATATAGGTTTTAAATAATAGTATTTTATTTCAAAATAAAACCCAGCACTATGTTCGTGGCTCATTGTTTTTTCTGCGGGTATGATAAATCTGGCTGGGTTCGTTGAGATGACTGTCGCATCAGACTTTTACACATACCCATAAATTAGTCAGTTTGATTAGAAAGAAAATCAAACGCAAATAGACATCCCCCTGAGAGCGGCTTATATGTATTAGATTATAGTTTGTCATGCAATACGAAAAGAGAAGGAAATACAATACGTATACATATAGCATTATTATAACACATTATGATGACAAACGGGCTTCATTTTCCTACAAATCACACAATACGCGTACAGTTTTCTCCCCGTGTTATTGAAAAAGGAAATACGATACAAAACAAATAAGAATCTTTTAAGAATAGCTCATACATGTCTGGCAATGTTTTATGATTTTGCAAGCGCTTGTGAATAGAAAATTCAATATTGATTCGCTCTCCCCGATGTTTATTCGGAGGATACATCACAATGGTTTTCAGATCGTATTGTATTGATAAAACCGAGCGTACTCACTGGCTAGTGTTAGTTGTGCGATATCGCATTTTCTGGCACAGTCGTTATTCAAATCGCTAAATCAGAACTGCTAGAAGGCTTGAATGCTATGATTCAGACGGAGCTAAGGAATAGTCGAATTAAATGGAAATGTAAGGTTTAATATGTTGATGTATGCATAGACTAGTGCCAAGGGAAATCAAATTGGACTTAGAAAGTTTAAAGAAGCCGTGCTAATTATAATAAACATTGGCCGAACGTTGTAAAACAAGAATCCAATTCCGGAGTTCTGAATTATTGAGCAGCAATGTTAACGGTGGATAGATCATAGGATTTTGTTTTAAACCGTGGAATAAACTCGTTTAAAAGTCGAAAACATGTCAGAGGTAACAGCTCGCAAAGCTGATTTTCCTGAAATAGTGGAATTAAATGTCGGTGGAGTATTCTATACAACATCTTTAACAACCTTGATAAAGGAGCCTTCCTCACTCCTAGGACAAATATTCGGAGGTGAATGTAGCATAAAGCTCGTAAAAGACTCCAAAGGAAAATATTTTATTGACCGTGATGGGGTATTATTTCGCTACATTCTGGACTTTTTAAGAAATCAGAAAATAGTTTTACCGGAAAATTTCCATGAAAAAGATAGATTAAGAAATGAGGCTGAACATTTTAAACTACCTGAAATGGTGAAAGGTATCACAGCCACGTACCTTAGTGGTCGATTGAGTCCAGTACCTCCTCATAAAGTGTTGCCGAGTGCCGTTCAAAACTCCGTTCATTCAACCATTAGCGAAGGACGAACTTGCGGAGTGATAACACTTGGCTATCGTGGTACCTTTGCTTTCGGACGAGACGGATTAGCTGATGTGAAATTCCGCAAGCTGAGCCGAATAATTGTTTGCGGCAGAGTGTCCTTGTGCCGGGAGGTATTTAAGGATACTCTTAACGAAAGCAGAGATCCAGATCGGGGTTGCTCGGATAGATACACAAGTAGATTTTTTCTTAAACACAGCTTCCTTGAGCAAGCTTTTGATATGTTACAGGAAGAAGGTTTCCGTTTAATTGGATCTTGTGGGTCTGGCACAAATAATGCAGGGGAAGTAAAGCCTGGAATGGATACAGAAGAGGCCAAGTGGCAGCACTACAATGAATTTATTTTTGAAAGGAGATAAACACTTCGTTATATACGATATTTCCACTAAAAACAGGACCACTCTTGTGCATATATTTCCTTCACAGTAGGCTTAAAGAAGTCCATGGATGTTAAGTTGAGCGTAATGTTTTGTCCTTGTGCGCGCTTGATTATTTGGAACGTCAGTATGTTTGATTAATGGAATTGCTAGAAGGCTTAACAATAGTTTATTGGATGGTCACATGTGTTAAAAATGACATATTTCATTTAGATAAAAGGATTTAATAAAAATGTCCATTTATTCAGGATTGTTGCAATAGATTATATTTCACATTTTTTTTAAAAAATGGAGTAACATATTTGTTGAGTAGGATTACAGACTGTTAAATGGATAAGTATGAAAGGGTATATAGTTTTACATGATTTCAGTGTTTAAATAGTGCACATTTTAAGTCTTGCTCTGTAGTAGTACATAATATATTTGTGTTTTTCCTTTCATAAAAGAGCGTTACATGCAGTACAATAAGTAAAATTAGTAAGTAAGAAAAAGAGCAGTTTAAGTTTATACTGCAGAAAAACAAATGGAAAAAAAGGATCTGTGTAAATGAATTGATGTTAACGATGTGTTGTTAGATATTTTAGGAAATAAAAGTTGGACAATAATTTTGTAGATGGATTCTAAACTTAAAGTTTTAGAAAATTATTATGCAACTGTAGGGTATTTTTCTGTGAATATAACATGATATGTGTAGTTGTCAAAATAAAAGTAGACATGAAAGAAGCTTTGTTTCTGACTCCCACAACGTAATTTAATAATCGCAAAAACATTGCTAGTGCGTTTGTCTATACGTATTTTTTTCAAACATGTTTTTCATATTGTTAAATCAGAAATGTTTATGGTCATTGTCTTATTTTTAAAGAAGTTAGAATAATCAATGTATTCAAGTGAAAAATACTTATATTCTTTCAAACAAATATTTATTAAATATTTTAACTAATACATACATTGCTTAAACATTTGGTTGAAATAATCTGTGTATCGAATAAAATGGATGTCTCGTAGGTATGTATAAGATACATGTATCTCCGATTATATTAACATTGTATATTTCCCATTTGAATTTAATTTATATCTTTTATTCTTATTATGATTACTTTTATTATTATAACAGGATATGTTAGCTTGTTAAAAGCATTATGATAAAGAAAAGGCATGAAATTACATTGAAATGAAAGTTGTATAAAAACACATATTCAGTCACGTACTGCTTTTTCTATTTCATCGCATGTCTATTTCTGTACAATATTTAACCTATACAAATCTTTCAAACAATAATGCATTTAAAAAAAAGTTCTGACAAACACACTGATGGCTTACATATAATTTGTTTGATATACATTGTAATATTTATGATATCGCTCGTGTGCCACTTTCACGGTTATTTTTCAGTGAAGTTATCGTTATAGATCGACTTCGTAATGTTTCTATAACAACCTGCTAGTGTTGTGCGTACATAGATGTTTTATAGGTAATGTTAACATTAAACATAAATATCATAGTTATATGATGTTAAAACATAGGAATTTGTCTTTATTCATCCTGATGAAATAAAAAGTGTGCACTCTTGAGGTAGTAAATTAACTTTTCTTCTGTTCACGAAGAAAAAAAAATATTAGGAAAGAATATTGCTTTTAGACGATGGAAAATTGCATTAAATGTGTGGCTAAAAGCAATGTGGAATGAGAAAAAGTTCTACAATTTTTATTTCAAGCTCTTCTCTTACACTGGCACTGACAGGTTCATTTGTTATGATTGTCTCATATTTAGATCGGATAAATATATTTTTCAAGACGTGAAATAAATCATTTTATTGATTTGTGATATATATTATGATGTAAATCTTATATGATGTTTACCTTTGCTGGTTTGGAAAATTGTTATAGCAACGAACCACTTGAAAAGAAACTTGAAGCCCTTGCGAAAATATATTTCATATACTGTCTTTTGTTTTGTTGGCTAGTGATATTAATAAGGCAAATTCGTTTTTTTCCGGCTACTTTTTAAGCAACAATGTATGCTATGAATATAAGTCACTCTTCAAAAAGAGGATAATGAAAGTTGTTACTAACGAAACATGCTTATAAAGTGTACCTAAGAATTTGTTCTACGTGACTTAAATCCTGTAAAAAGCTACTACCAAATTAGTCACAAACAAAGCACCAGACATACATAACGTGGATTAATATTTTCTTTAACGATTACAAATACATCAGTGAATACATTGTCAATAGACACTTTGAATATCTATTGGAACGTCTTGGAGCATTTCACGTAATGTTTAATGCACTGTAAATATGTATGCACTTAAGGGACCAGATTTACCGTTTAAACATTTATATTTTGTCTGCCAACATTTTCATTGCCTGAATTTCTATTCTGTGATTTTTTATGTCTTATAACCGAAAGAAATCAGATTTTTGTAACATTATTTGATAAAATATCAGAGAATCCAAAGTAAAAGGCCGCTGTTTATTTATTATTTCATCAATGTTTCTTTTCGAATCTATTCAATGATAAACGTTGATTCTCATGTCAAATGAAATGAATAAATTCAAACATAAATTGAATAACCTGCCAGCATTGTACAATTGTATATTTAAAAATTAAATGTAAAAATATGTTTGTAAAATATTCGTTAATTCATCGCGAGAATCTGTGGACTGGTCAAAGTATATACTATCCACAGGGCATATACTTATTCTAATCACCTCTATGTACAATAAGACACTATACTGCATGATTGATATTACCTCCTAACACAGATTGACATATGTTTATTGGAGAGTGCTCTGTTTAAATGCCAATTAACGCATGACATGTTACAAGATCTAAAAGAAAGTACTCCATTACGAATTCTACAGGGATCGATCAATGTTCCTGAAGTCCTGGGCTAATGTAATTAGTGTTTCTTAGGCACTTACCTCAAACTATAAAAAGCACATAAATATTGTCATTAATCCTGTATTACTCAATTAAGTTCCACCATAAAAGTGCTGCTTATTTCCTATTTAATTAAGAGTAACGGTGCTTAAGGTTAGAATATAAAAAAGTTCATAGCACAAATCCGGTTTTCCCCTTTGTAACTGGACACTTTAAAAGGTCATACTTTTCACTGAACCGCTTACTTTGTATGATACTAAAAACTAATTGTTTAAATCACGCATACGATTAACAACAATGCTTGTGCTATTTTGATTTTAAAAGCCACCCATTCATTTTCTTACAATTCTTGTAAACTTTTAGAGAAACTGTATGAAAAAGTACATAACAATTGATATAATATACACATATAATAGAGATTAATCAAACTTTGGCGAGATTGTAGACTGCATTCATCTCGGATGCCTTATGCGAGGTTTAATGATCATTGTTTATATAAGAGGAAAACCTTTAAGTGTTAACTTTTAAGGGAAATTATAGCTATAAATCCCCGGATAATAATATTGTCTCGTAGATGGTTTTTCTCAGAAAGTCAAATCGATTTAAAATATCAGCACATTTATATGTGTGATGAAACAATAAACGCATTCAATTTGTAATAGAAAATGAGCAAGTAGAACCGAGTCTTCCACGATATATGATTGACTTCCAAACCGAAGGGTTTTTGTTAGATTTATTGAGCCGAAATTTCATTTTCTTTGTAGATCTAACAAGTAAAGGATGTTTCAGTTTTGTGTATGCATGCCATGATATTTAATCAAAATATGTTAGAATATACTTCTGGTATACACATTGTTTATAATCTCTCCTCTCTTTTGGAATAAAATTTCTTCAGTCAACAATAATATAATCTGCATAGATTAGACATTTCGTATCGATTGAAAAGACAAAGTTATGATCAACCGCACAGAACAGATAAGCAAGTATTATATATGTGTCTGGTAATTTAATATTGATAAATATGGTTATAAAATCTATTGAGCAGAAGACGGATTGATATATACAGCCGACACTGAACGAAAACACGTCTTTTTAATATTGATGATAAGCTGTATGATTAATGCGTTCAGCATACGAAAATATTACATGAATCGACTTGTGTTAATGTATGACTCTGAAAAAGTTTCAGACGCGCTAAAACAAACTTCAATCAATTTACCACTACTTATTTAAGAAAGTGCATAAAAAGGATAGAATGGAACTCATTGAAAACAGTTATGAATTGTCGGAAAATTCATTGTTTAAAATTTGATTTAACATATATATTTAATATGTGATATAAGCTGGTTTAAGCTGGTAAAATAACTAGAACACATGAGCCTATTTTTCAATAGTCTGACGAGGAGAAGTTTCAAGAAAATAATCAGTTTATATCGAGCTGTTCAGGAAAAAAAAGACAACTTACTTAATTTCTTGTCTCAGGCGTCTTAATATTTAACTTAATAACTGGAATCTACCGATTTAATTGCCGTGGATAAATTCAGTTCTTTTTAACCGTCGGTTTCCCATCTCCTTTTGTCAACTGTTTGTAATGCAACAGATACATATCTATAAATATATTTACAAAGAAACCAATTTATATTTCAATTGACTCAAAAGTAGTGTCACCAGTAAAGATTAACTTTTCCCTGTTTGTTTCTATTTATCAATCAAATGACCTAAGCCCGTGTTTTGAACATCGTGTGTGGCCAACAACATTCAATATAGCATCCGATAAATTAACCGGTCAATAAGAACTTGTTCTATTTGTGTTTTTTATTATTCACAATGAACACAGTCTGAAAATAAACAATACAGAAAACCTTTAAATGTGACTAGATATACATCACAAGACTTGACAATACGACTTCCATGTCATAACCAAGGGAATGATTAAATTGACAATGAAATACATATAGCATGAACCATGATAAAGTGCAATACATGAAGGAGTAAAATAATCTTATACATTTTGGGTTTGTAATTACCTATCAATTAAAGTTTATTGTGCCACTTCACTTGTGATGTTGTGTCTTGTAAAAATATGTTACAAATGGCGATTTTCCCATCAGGGGAAGTAACTCTACCATGTGAAGTCCTGACCTCATGTACCGTGCACTGTATATATTCGTATATCTCCCCCCAAGTCTTTTGACACATAATTTGTAAAAGAAAAAAAGACTGAAACACACATATATATCACTAAATAATCAGTCACGGTACAAAATAACACCATGTCATGTCACTACACAATAATAACAGTTTACATGTTCTGACGTAGTAAAAATAATTCACTATTATGAACACACCCTGTGGATTGGAACATCATTAGGGTTAATTTAGTGGGTGAAATTCAAATTCAATTAGTTGTACAAGGGTATGCAGATTATTATCACTGGCTGTGGCAGTTCTGACCCTGTCCCAAGTCACTGATTTTAAATCAAGGGAGTCTAGTGAATTAATGGCTGATAAAACTACAGTGCTCTCAATGGAGGAATCGGAGGTAGAATACCGGGGTTCTCTCAATGGTGCAAGGTCAATGTTTGAGATACGAGTTAGGCTGCTGATACTAGCAATATCGTCTGTGAGCACAAGCCGTTCTGGGTCCCCAGTAGGGTTCCGAGACAGGCTGTCTGTGGCCTTATGTTTAGCACCTGGGATGTAAACCATACTAAACTTGTACCTGAGGGTTTTTTCCTTTAGGTTCCTGAGCCTAGCATTAGATATATTCTCTAATGATCGGTCGCCAAAGAGCTTAAGGAGTGGTTTGTGGTCGACAGCAATGATAAGGTTAGAGCAACCCAGGACAAAATACCTGGCCCTGTCCAGTGCGTCAGCTACCGCTAAGGCCTCTCCTTCTACTGGAGCATAGCGTGATTCTGCTGCATGAGTAAAGCGGCTACCTACTAATGTGACCCTCCAGCCATTGCTACAACAAAATGGCTCAGTTTTTAGACAACTGCAATGTTTCTGGAGGAGCCAAAAGCCAATGCCATCCTTGGACCAATCTGTGGTAAGACATGTGGGTCTAGTCGGGTCAAAAATCTTAACCCCTTCTTCGATTTCCCTCGTGATGACCTGTTTGGATTCTTCAAACAAAGTGTCTAGTTCTTTGGTCCAGAGAAATGGGGTGTTAGGTTGGAGGAGGTGGCGAAATGGGGCCATCTTCCCTGTCATGCTAAAAGCATATGCAACCTGGTTGACAAGGCCGAAAAAAGATCTGACATCAGTGATATTCTTAGGTTTCGGAAAATCAGATATGGCTTGTAGGTATCTCTGGCAAGGTCTGACAGAATTGGGACCAATTTCAAAACCTGCAAATTCGACTGTATCTTCTGCAAAGGTAAACTTCTCCGGGTTCAGAGTTATGCCATTTTTTCCGCATAGATCTAGCCAATGCACGGTTTGGTTAAAACTGTCTTCTATTGTGTCTGACCATAGAAGGACATCATCAATGCATTTAGTTTTGTTGGGTATGTGAGCTACAAGTTCATCGTACCTTCTAGTGTAGCCATCGCCCGAGGCTATGTAGCCCTGAGGGGCGGTTCGATACCTGTATCTACCCCAAGGTGTGATGAATGTGGTAAAGTGACGATCCTCTTCCCGGATAGGTACACTATGGTAGCCATTCCAGGCGTCCAGTACAGTTTTGATTTTACCATGTGGTACGGAACGCGCTTGATGGAAGGGGGAAGGGGTATGATGGGTCTGTCTCTTTGCATGTGCATTTAGGGGTTGTAGGTCAACAGTGCGGCGTGGCTCGCCATTCTTTTTGGCGCATACAACCATTCTGTGGCACCATGTTACCGGCTCACCAATAGGGACGGGTTCGATCACTCCTAGGCTTACATCTTGGTCTAATCCAGCTTTAACGGCTTCACGCCAATGAATTGGTACTGGGATGGGGGTATGGTGGGCCACAGGCTCTGCTTGTGGGTCGATCATCAGCTTCATTGGTGGGCCATTAATCATGGGTAAAGGTTGGTGAGGGCAGGTGTTAAAGGTGCTAGACCTATAGTGGTTGAGAAGGTATTCCTTTAGGAGGGGAAGATTATCTTTGGTGCCTGGAAATGGTATTTTGTCTGGGGGTGGTGGAGGTAATTGGCGTTTAGGGCATGAGCATGTTTGCTGCTGGATGGCAGCGGTCTGGGTGGGGGTAGGAGCCGTGAAAGGGAAAGAGGCGGGAAGGATCCCTAACTCAGTGCAGGCCTCACGACTAAGGAATAGTTTGTCGCATGAATCAGTGACATACGTCATTTGTCTACTCTCAGCAGCCCTTTCCCCCTCTGTAGCACAAATGCGGAGCACAGTGGCGCCTATGATTTTTACCAGTATTGGTTGTGGTGTGCATTTGCATTGTAACTGGAATAAGGTCCGACTCCCGAAGTCCAAGGCGTTTTATCACATTTGTGCCAGCTAAGCAGCTCTGGCAGCCTGTGTCAGCCAAGGCAGGAAGGATTGCTGAGAGAGGTCGGTTTGCATTTAGTTCGAAACCGAGGGCAGTATAGTCTTCTCTCACTACACGCGCACTAACATTCATGGTAGGTTGAGGTTTTTGATTTACGTTTGATCCATGTGTCAGATAGTTTGTCATAGGCATGATGTTCTAGGCGTAGGGATCTTTCAATGCCCTCTTCACTTATCGAACAAGAGTCTGTGATAGTACACAACGCGTCAAATGTAGCAGCTGTCTCACTGAAAGTGTTTTGTTGTCTGGCATCTAGCTTAGCACCCCTGCAGACCTGAGGAAAGTGATTTTGTTTAAGACAGCGGTCGCACATCTTACCATACGCTGGGCATACATTCTTCCTTATCCTTGCAGGTGCATTTGTACCATGACCTTTTGTTCCACAGTAGCCACAAGGATCTTTAGTTTCTTTTTTTTCATTCTTGTTTTTTGATCATTTTTTTGTAGGAGCTGGAGGCTGCATCCACCGGCTGGCTCTCAAGTAAGGAGGAAGCTGACCTTTACCGGCTTCCTTGACCTCCACAAATTGGAATATCTCCTCAAGTGTCATTTTCTGGTTTTTATCACCAAGCAACTCCAACTGAATCTCAGGGTCTGCGATGCCCCTTGTCACAATATCGCGCATAACCTCATCGGAGAAGTCCACATTGGCACTGCAGTTAGGTCATTTAAGTGATAAACAGCAAATGTTTGCTTGGCCCTTCACACGAGCTCCAAAATTGCGTATTGTCTCCTCACGATCTTGTTTCATTGCATGTAACTTATGTCTAGCGACCATAGCATTCTCTTCCCTGACTGCGAGTTTCCTAATAGCAGATAACACTTCATTTTCAGGTTTGCCAGTCAGGTTTCCACCAGTAGCCCTTGTGAGGTCTTTCCTAAGCGTTTCTTCACAACATTCTAGAAGCTGTAGTATTAAGTCACTGCCTTTAACTTGAGTGGCTTTTTTGTAATCGTCCCATCGTTTTTCGAAGTACAACCAGTCCTCGTTTGTGCCAGCTGCTTTGATAGTTGGACGTTTCACCTTTTCCACTTTAGCTGATGCCGCCACTGCGGGCGTGTGTGTCATCGAGTGTGTGTTGAGTAAGGCAGCAACTATCACAGCGTCCAGCTCAGCGGTTTTGTAATCGCATCCAGGAAATGGGCATTCAACGACAGGCATCTTGACTGGACTGTGTTCATCAATAAGAACTTGTTCTATTTGTGTTTTTTATTATTCACAATGAACACAGTCTGAAAATAAACAATACAGAAAACCTTTAAATGTGACTAGATATACATCACAAGACTTGACAATACGACTTCCATGTCATAACCAAGGGAATGATTAAATTGACAATGAAATACATATAGCATGAACCATGATAAAGTGCAATACATGAAGGAGTAAAATAATCTTATACATTTTGGGTTTGTAATTACCTATCAATTAAAGTTTATTGTGCCACTTCACTTGTGATGTTGTGTCTTGTAAAAATATGTTACAAATGGCGATTTTCCCATCAGGGGAAGTAACTCTACCATGTGAAGTCCTGACCTCATGTACCGTGCACTGTATATATTCGTATAACCGGCATAATAAACAAGTATTGCTAGGAATGTAATCGACTCTAAAATACAAATAAAGATTACAGCAAGATAAAACTTGATCATGCTCTCAACAAGTTTTTCCTCGCTAACTACATTAGTGCTTAAATGATCGGCAGATTGAATCTTCTGTCCTCTCCTTTACTCGTACTTCTGATTTATTGTAATAATATCTTCTATGTGATTAACAAATGTGTGGGTGATGTTATTTTTAACGAGCCGACAAGTTCAGGACATAACATATGGATCCCTATTTTTCGATTTATAAATGAACAGAAACTACACTCTTCACGCTTTGTTTTCTATGCTATGGGATAAAATACATTCCAGCATACAGTGTAAGTGTTGCAGCAAGGCAACTATTAACTGCTGATCCAGAAATAACTTTTTTTATTTCAGTTCGTCTTAAATAACCATGGTAACGCAATACCGGCTTAAAAGTTAGAAATTCAGATCGTCATCTGCCAATATGACTTAATATGTAAATTTAACATCATGTGAACTTCTAATTCAAACAAGTTTTAACTCTCTGTCAACTTTTTGTTTATTACAAAATTTCATCATTTGCGACTTTAACATCAATTTTGAGCAGTTATAAAACTTCAAACAGAAGGGGTCATATCGCGACTTTACAGTTTTAACTGTTGGAGGAAGACCCCAGGTGCCCATCGTGCATTATTATAGCGGCGCAAAAGGGTATCTTTTTAGTTCCACCAAAGGTCCCTCAGCTAGCTGAATAACTTCCTTACATGAAAGAAGGAAGTTCCTTGCGGGATCCGAACCCACAGCGGTGAGGTACATAAAAAATTAACATGTTTAAAATGATAAAAATAATTTAAATAATTCCTTTTGTTATATCATTTCTGTTTAGGGAAACTGGTTTGAAGTTAAATCTTTAACTTCTTATTATGTTACTAACTACCTAAAACGAACTGGGGTAATGAACCGAAAAAGCAATTATCAGTTAGTTTAAACAATTTTAACTGGTTCACACAGCTATACAAATTTAAGTACTATAATAATATACAAACGTAAGTACACATTTCTCCACTATGAAATTCTTTGCTTTGTACAATGACACTTTAATATGTAGCGTCATCCTTTGAAATTGAACACGATCAATACAAAGACTGTATATTTCACTGTCAATCTATCATATCTACAAGTTCAGCTGATATCTAGAACTCCCAAATCGAGACTGTTATTGACGGCAAGGAGTTTGGTTTGCACAAAAAGTCAGTATATGATCATTTTGCGATAAAATTATTGACTTTTGCATTGGAATCTCTGATTCCTAATCAAATATGTTTCCAAGGCGGTTTCTACATATTCAATTGGTTTAATTTAAAGGTTTAGACAATAATGCGACACATACACACACTACAATTATGTCCTTTTCAGTCCTTCACAGAATGTTTACGGTTGGAAATGTATGAAACCAGTTATTAAATAATATGTCTTTTGACTCATTCCTGCTGTCGCACTCTTTGAATATTCATACAATTGTTTGCGGGCATGTCACGCAATGCGATGGGGAAAATATATCCATGTATTATTACTGTCGCCACTCTTTATGCCCCTTAGAGACTAGCTCTATCATTTGACATCCGAACACAATCCTGCCATAAATCTTACTTAACTTTCTTGTTAAACTTTTTGTGTCGCCTTGAAAAGGCGACATATAGGGGTTACTTTTGTCGGCGGTGTCGGCGTTGGCGTCCCCTAAAGTTTGTCCGGAGCATAACTCAGTCACTATAAGTCGGATTGACTCCAAACTTGGTATGCATGCTTCTTTCAATGACCCGAAGTGCAGTGCACAAGAATCATTACTCTGCGTTTCTTAATTTTTTAGATATTGCCTTTTGTTAATTTTCATACTTTATTTTTTGTCCAGGCCATTCCTCCAAAGCTATAGACTTGAAACTTCATAGGATAATAGATCTCGTTAAGAAAATGTGCAGTGAACAAAAACCAGTACTCTGCACTTCCTATTTTTTGCGTTATTGCTCTTTAATAATTTTCATACTTTTGTCCAGGCCATTTCTCTTAAACTATGAAAGCTATTGACTTGAAACTTCATAGGATAATAGATCTCATTAAGAAAAAATCCAGTGCACAAAAACAGTACTCTGCACTTCTTATTTTTTAGTTATTGCCCTTTGTTAATTTTCATATTTCATTCGTGTCAAGGCCATTTCTCCTAAAGTATAAGCTATGGACATTAAACTTCATAGGATGATAGATCTCATTAAGAAGAAGTACAGTGCACAAAAACAGCACTCTGTACACTATGGTTTTAGAGTTATTTCCTTTTGTTGATTGTAATTCTTTATTTTTGTTGCAGCCATTTCGTCTAAACTATAAAAGCTATGGACTTCAAACTTCATAGGATGATAGATCTTATTGAGAAGAAGAGCAGTACACAAGAACCGGTACTCTGTACTTAATGATTTTAGAGTTATTGCCCTTTGTTAATTATATTATACTTTTTGTCCACCACAATAAAAGCTATTCAAGCTACATCAATCCTGATGTTACATTGTTACAAGCAGTTCAAATGCTACTAAAGTTAAAGGTACATGTAAATTATAAGAGTGGTATTTATAAATAACCTATAATTAAGAAAAACATGCCTAAGTGACACAAGGCGACACATCCGACTCGCAAAGTTCTAGTTTGTTTAACACGTTCTCATCAGGATAATCAGGATATTTTTCTTTTTTTTAGCTTTACTGAGTTTCAGCTTGATCTCGTTTAAGTTTTAAGCATTTTCAATAAAGCACGGCACTATTTTAAGGTTCAGCGCCAAGTACAAACGTGAAATCATTGTTTTGTGCGTTTAACATGTTAAGGAACATTTATACGAGAGACATAACAAAACGTATACTTTTTTGCAAGGATAGCACCTTTGCACCATAAGCATCTGCAGAAACCGTCGGACTTCTGAAATTCCTCACAGTGTGGGTTGCGATTCAGGCTTTTAAAAAGACATTGTGCCCATCTTAGGGTATATAGTGAGTAAACAGGTGTATAGTGAGTAAACAGGTGAAGGTTACAGTAAGTTTACATTTTGCCATACCTCCTTTCAATCTCATATTAATTGACACTCCATAAACGATAAATAACTCACAATGTCCATAGAAATTTTGGTAAATATCCATTGGGATTTGCCTGTCACGTTCAATTTATAAAACAGAGTGGGCAATCTTTTTATATTTAAGACACATACTTTATTTTATCCAAAGTATTTTCCAATATCAATTGTTTTTTCAAATACCATTATAACAATTAATGTTTTTAAAATATATAGTCCATTCAGCTGTACTTAAACCAGCTGTAATGTACTTCAGCAGATGTTATTGCTATAGAAAGGTACATTTACCCTCTGCCTAGAATGTGTGGCCAAGTACATACAGAGAGAAGTTATAGTTGTCCATGAAATCACTTATTGAAACGAGAATGCTTGATCACTTTCCATTTACAGAGGTTTTAAAATCAATACAAAACTATTTCTTCCATGCCGTTTGGAGAATTTCGTGCTTCTATAAATGAAACGCTATTTGCTTTAAGGAAAATAATTAATATATATCCCTAGATCACAATTATAATGTCTAGATGAAGACGATTTTTCTCATAAGGCACAGAATCAATAGAAAGAAAGGAGAAAAACAATTTTTGTTTTATTCGCGATATGTTAACACATACGCTTGTAAAATTGAACTAGATTATATATAAACAAGACAAGCAAATAAACGTGTCTTGGTTAAGCCTCAGATTATATTATCGCTTCAACTTTAAGTATGACCTCGGTTTTAACAGTGTTCACATTGGAAAGGATAAACGCCAACAATTCAGAATTGAAATTTGATATTTGTAGCAGAAATGGCTTACAAATCATGTCAATTGAAGAATTTTTTTTTGTTGACGCATATCTTATGTCTGAAGCACCGCAAGTATCTAATTTCTATTTTCAATTTCATGTTTATTTTTAACTTCCGTTTTTAGGTAAGCTGTGACGCAAATATAATTTCTTTCATTTGCCCCCCTTTCATTCTTAAACAAAACTAAAAAAAATACAAGAGAATTTCTTCCTATAATAATAAGAAATTATCATTCCTGAAAAAGACGTCTAACTTAATTATAGCTTTCGTGAGACATAACATAAACTTCATTACTTGAATTTACTAAGACGATTGTCATAGATACACATCCAGGTCATATCTCACAGTTTTCCCGCCGATAAAATGGGGGGGGGGGGTATATTGCTTTGGCGTCGTCAGTTGTACCAAACTCCCTCTTTGCATTGTTGACCAAATTTCAATCCCCATGGCATATTTAGAACAACTTTTTTGCATATAGAAATTAGTTTTGATTTTTGTTTTCATTTCGGACCTACAAAATTAACAAAGTGATTTTAAGTAACAAGTGATTATTGCTTTTAACATTTTTTTTATCTCTAATGACACAACTAAAACCAGTCTCCATGTGTAGGTCCAATGAAAACTAAATGAAAACATCTTCAGACATGTTTACATTTTTGTATATTAATAGTAAAAATATAAGAAAAACACTTTTTACCTTGAAAACAGTTTCAATTTGATACCTATGGAATTTTGTTTGGCTTTGGCCAACTCGCCTAAAATATGAATTAAATTCAGTATGTTTACAGAAAAATATTCGTTGCCACTCTATATACAAATTAACAGTTGTTTCCGCACTATATCCCAGCCACAGATTAGCGACGTACTTTATGAGCACCATTAAAACTTGAATAATTCACAACTCTAACCTTGAAGTGACAATGACTTTCAATGCCAAACTATCAAACTATTGCTAATATTGTCATAACATTGTTATAAATTTGATTTAAATTTGGAACAAACATTACTTAGGAGAAAAAAGTGTGAACATGACATGCATAATCTTGTGTGCTCATTTTTGCGGTTATTAATTATAACCAGTATTTTACGGGGTATA